CTGGTCTTGTCACTACCAGGAGGACTCTAGAGCAGTGGAAAAAAATAGTATGAAACTCACAAAGTTTTGGAAGGAACTGACTGATGACTTAGATGTTTTTCCTTCTGTTTAGAAGAAAAACATGACTCCTGTGGTTTTCTTGGAACAGGCTGCAGAAAACAATCTAGAGTGCCAAGTGCCTCTGTCCTAAGGCTAGGGAGCAGGGCACTTTGTAAATTGGTTGGGAGATTTTGTAAAAACCTCATTAACAGAAAAATAACCCTTTCCTGGGTGCTTGGGACACTGTTCAATTCTTCCACATTCTTGATCAAATAGGAGTTCTTAGTGGCTCATTAAAATCTTCATGGTGCTTCTTTGCAGAAGATGAAATGTCATCCCTGGCTAATTTCCAAATTATGTATTTGCGTGCTAAGTTGGTAAACTGATTCCAGGCTCTACTATTTAATCATGACTTATTGTATTTGTTGGGTTTTTTTTCCTTGAAAATCCAGCTCGGGGAGTCGTGTGATTATTTAAGCATTTCATCTAGACACTATTTAAGAACATTATCATGTTGAAATGCTTGAAAACATGAAGCCTATTGAAGGAAGAAGAAACTAAGATCAACCTGTTTAACATGATTTTTTTTCTGTGCTTTGAATTACTGGATATCCTTGAATGGCCTCTACTGATACTATCTCTTAAATTTTAATAAATACAACACAGTTGTCTCAACAGCTGTTGTGATGAGATGCAAAAGCAGAGATGACTCTGCTATTGAGCAGTGTCTCTGTACTTAACGTAGGCAAAATTATACAACAATAATTGAAAGGAATTCAGACAGTTAAAAATTAAGTGGTGCTTCAGGGTCAAGGTTTTTTCCCCTATTTTCTTCAGATTAGTTAAATGGCCACACATGCCCATGCCACTTTAGGTAGTTTTAGAAGCCACTGGGCCTGAAACCACTAAGCATAATCTTGGGAGACCACACAGGGGAAACTGGGTTGCCTGAGCAATCACCAAACATGCAGCAAGTTGCAGAACTGTTTAAAAAATCAGCTGGAATCTTCTCTGCTTACCCTAAAAAATGTACAGAAAGTCCTGCAGGCCCTGAAGAGAACACTGGCTGGCAGTAGGCTCAGTGGTTGGGATTTCTCAGGCTCCAGCGAGCTGCTTGCCTGAAGCTCCTGTTGTATTTCAAGGTCAGGCTCAGAGTGGGATTCTGTTGGATTGATCCCAAATTTCTGCCTCAGCACTCAGGCTTGCAAGAGCATGGCTCAGCCCCATTCTGAGGAAACGGTGAAACCCACCATCCCTGAAACCCTGCTGTCCTGCTCATGGCATCCCTCCAGTTTGCTGCCCCCATTACACTAAGGGGCTTGATGGAGTTTTACACACTGCTCACAGCTCCTTATCCTGGAGCTGTCTGGAGAGCAGTCATTCTGATGACATAAATTAACATCTTTCAACAAAGTTGAAATGGCTTCAAGCTGCAACAGGGGACGTTTAGACTGGACATTAGGAAATATTATTTTTTTCACAGAAAGAGTGGTTAGACACTGGAATAGGCTGTCCAGGGAGGTGGTTGAGTCACCATCTCTGCATGTGTTTAAGGGTCGTTCGGATGTGGTGTTTTTGGATATGGTTTAGGGGAGAACTTTGTAGGGTAGGGATGATGTTGGACTCAGTGATCCCAAGGGTCTTTTCCAACCTGAATAGTTCTATGATTCTATGATCCTATAAGTTCTGACACTGAGAGTCTACCATTGTCAATGGTAGTGGTGATGAAAGACCTTTAACTGAATGACATCATGACTTGTTTAACCTGAGCCTTTGGGGGTGCTGGGCAGCCATGCTGGCAGACTGGTCCCAGCACTGGCATGCCAGCTGGGGCAAACCAAGCCCTAACACAACCCCTCAACTCCTCCATGCTGAAGAAAGGTATGTTTTAAAGGGATTGATGTCACTGCTGACGGAGAGTTCCCAGGAAAACTTGGCAGTATCCAAGTGGCATGCACAGCAGCTGGGTTTTTTCATAGCAAATAGCAAAGAAGGATACTGAGGCATGTCAATAAACGTGGATATTCACTTCAAGGTAAATACTTGTAATAATGGTGCAGTAGTTGCAAGCTCAGCAGAAAAAAAAGTGTTTTACTACAAGAGCAGGGCAACACTGCCTTAGTCCTTAAACCAACCTAGAATAGAAATAAAGATTACTCTGGGGAAAACATCAGTCACCTTTCAGCACTGCCTTGAAAATAAATGGTGTTATATTTTTACACAACTTTTTTACTTTATGTCAAATACTTCTGTCCCCTGAACTGAAAACGTGACCTCTTCTGGGAAGATACTGCACTCAGTTTAACCCTGAGCATTATATTCTTCTGTCAATCACTTCTTCCACCACTAGAGCAATGATTTTCTACAATAACCTTGCACTTGAGTAAATCCATTCTTTGGGTTTCACCAGATAGCATTTTATCTTGGCAGTTTCTTGAGTCATCATGATATAATTGGTATCAAGAGGAGGTTTTGTGCTTTGTATTCCCTTGGCCCAGAGGCACGGAGTACCTGAAGCTCTGCAGAGCCCCAGCTTCCATGCAGGTCTTGTTACAAACCCACCCAGCTGAACAAAACACCCTTTGCCATTAGCAATATAGCAGTGGAGTGTGAATATTCACGAGTTATTGCCCTGGTTTTATAAATTATCTACATCATGGCTGTTTCATGTTAGTCTTACGTGTGTACCCTTCAATTCTGTCCCTTGTAGCTATATTCTTCAATTAGCTATGCAAAAACCTCCAGTGGTTTTAGTCAAGAGGCTCAGTGCTCTGGTCATGAAAGGGTACATTGACTGTGAAGAATGCTTGCTGCACCGCATGGTGTTAAGTCTGCTGAGACTTGGAACATGGGGCCATAGGGAAAAGCCACTCAAAAGCATTGACAGAAAGGACAGACTAATTTTGATTGTCAGGTGCTTGGGAACTGAGCTGGGACACCAAGCTCCTATGGGAGTGCTTCGACCATGGGGGTCTGAAAGGTGCTGACCCCCAACAAAGCTCTGGCTCTAGCAGAGAGCAAGGGGTGCTTTGGCTGGAGTGACTGCATCACTTTTTCATGCTGTTGCTTCTGCCATTGCCACTGGGATGAGCACAGAGGCCTGTGTGGTAGGTTGAAGGTGCTGGGGGGTAGAGGGAGGCAGGGAAAAGGCTTTGAGTGCAGCTCCAGGTACTTTTTTTCACAAGGGGAGAGATGCATGTGACAATCAGGGGTGGTCACCTGAAGCAACAGTTCAGTCTGGGGCTGGAGAATTGCTGAGAGACCAGCCCATCCTGGTGCTGCCTTGCTTTTTATGGCAAGTGGTGAAGCCAGCCATAGTGCCTTGTCCCACCCCACAAATTAGCTGTGCTTGAAATAACACTACCAGGCTCCACATCTCAGCACAGGGAGTTGACACACCTCTGCACGGCCCCCTCGCCATACACACGCGTATGTTTATATACACACACACACGTGTATTCAATGTACATATTTATATACAGTTACAATATATACAGTGTGTGTGTACATTAATCTGCAACCAATCTGGAAACAATCCTTGGGGTCAGGGAGCCGAGGGCTCGGTGCTTGCCAGATATCTCACAAATAGGTCACAGAGTGATCCAGGCTCTCACTCCTTCACCCTCACCTGCCCCTAATTCCCTCCCGCGCCCCTCCCTGCCCCGGTCTCCTGAGTGCTGGGGTTCTCTCCTGTAGGGGAAGTGAGAGGTTTGTGCTGGAGAACAGGCAAGGATTTCACTAAGCTTCAGTCTGGGGTGTTTCTGGCATTTGCAAAGGAAGGAGCTGAGAGAAGCTTAAACCGAGTTAGGAAAAGGCAGTGGAAATTTCGGCACCGTTAGTAATGATCCTGCTGAGCAAGGATTTTCAGTTTGTGAGCCTGGCTTTTGTTCCCTGAGTTCTTACTGTAAGATAAACCCGTCTATAAGTAGAAAAAGAAATCTGAATTACTTTTTAAAGCCGATCACTTAAAATGCATTGTGGTTTTCTGTGGACTCGGGGTGGGAGGGCAGGAAAAGGAGAAAAAAAAACCAACTGAATTAAGCCACCTTTGTTTGATCTGGTATGTTTTCCCATCAAGACAATCTCTTAATTTCTGTCTGTTGTTACAAGCAACTGACAAACTGGCTGAATACGTAGAGAAATGTGAAATAACAAGTTACAGCTATTTATTTAATTATTATTTTTTTTAAGAATTCCCCTGTAAGAAAAGCAGAAAAGCCTGCATGAATTGCTTAAAGTTCTTATTACGGAATGATAGCTTGGTTTGGGTTGGAAGGAACCTTAGAGATCATCTAGATCCAACTCCCCCTGCCTGGGCAGGGACACCTCCCACTAGACCAGGTGGCTCCAAATCTCATCCAACCTGGCCTTGAACACTTCCAGGGAGGGGGCATCAACAACTTCCCTGGGCATCCTGTGCCAGTGTCTCACCACCCTCCCAGGAAAATCCTTCCTAAATCTAACCCAAACCTACCCTCTTTCAGCTTAAAACCGTTTCCCTTTGTCCTGTCACTACATGCCCTTGTAAAAACTCTTCATCTGCTGCACTGGATTAAGTGCAACCACAAAAAAAGGGAAGGGAAGGGAAGGGAAGGGAAGGGAAGGGAA